GACATTCTGAATATGGTAGTCTTAGTATTTTAGTTCTAGTTTTAGGGGGTGATATATGGTTTAATGATATTTATATATAGTTCGGTACTTGTTTGGTTAGGAAACTATGTTTTAAAATCCTTTGTAAACCCCTTAATAACATGGCTATCATAATCAATTATATAACTCACCCAAGCACAGATTGATTCACATACATGTAAACTATTTTTTTGTATTTCGCATGCTTACTACTTGGGAGATTTCGCATTTTGGGGTGTCCTTGCAAGGATAGCAGCTGTTGATTCGCTGCGTTGACGTATTTTAATTTATAATGCAATCGCTGGCTGGATCCTTTTGGGATTCGAGACATCCCCATAGGGGCAAAGCCTTTACAGTTCCATATTGCTTAACCCCTACGTGGACACCTTATCCTCTTCGTGTGTGTATTGAAAAATACACCGAAAGAAATTGTGTTTAGTATAATCATATTATCCTTCATAAATATATTTAAAGCAATTATATAGAAACAAAATTATATTAAGAATATATTTATAAATAGAGTCATTTATTTTAAAAAGCGCTCAATATATAAAGCAATATTAAACTAACATTGATGGGGTAAAAACATATTCTTAATTAGAGGGATGTTAAATATTGTATTCTTTTTAAAAAGCTAGTCAACCCAAATCATCCTAGTTCCTCGTTGACTAACACAGATACAATATGGTTTCCCATCACTGGCCTAAAGATTGATCTTATAGACATGCTTCTATTAAACGTGCGCTGCGCAAGAATCTCTAGAATATGCATGCTTAAAAATCTGATTTATTTAAGTATTTTTCTGTATATATTATTTCTTGGTGCTATTTTTTCTCCCTATTCTTAATTAGAGAAATATTACATTATGTATTCTTTTTAAAAATTTAGTCATCCTAGTTCTTCGCTGACTAGCTTACTAGCTTAAAGATTGTCCTTATAGTCATGTTTGTAAAAAACTTGCGCTGCGCAAAAAACTGATTTATTTTTGTATTTTTCTTTATATATTAATTCTTGGTGCTATTTTCTCTCCGTGTAGGAGCGTCATAGCACGCGTGTGGTGTCACCGTCTGTCGCCTTGTCTCCGACTCTCGGCTTCCCTATTTCCCTGCGTGTGTTTGCTCTCGTGAGATTTACAACGTGACAGCGCACAAGTCCAAAAGTAGTAATGGGGGGGAGGGGGGATCCGATTCCGAAGAACGGGGGCTTGGGGAAGACCCTTTAGGTTGACCCATGGGTCTTACACCTGGGGAACAAAATGACTTCGACGACGACAGCGACACGTGCCAAGGACACTGATTTATATGTTTTCCATTTTTGTTTTATTAGCGGCCTCGTATCTCTGCACTTCTCCTCTCTCGGGGAAAACGTGCATGGAATTAATGAGGGCTTTCCGCTATCTCCTTCCGCCAGCTGGAAACCGAGAACACTACAAGTATTTTTCCCTATTTTCCCCCGCCCTTTAAAGCGGTCTGCTGAATGGGCAAATTAAAATGAGCATGAAATAATCATAAATTGCGCATTGGCGCATTAAAATTGCCATCGCTTAAAGTCAAGCTTTCATTTGCCAGACGATTTAGAGAGGGGGGGGCTAAACTGGCTGATGGAGGGGGATCAGACGATTTCCCGACAGCTGTGGGCGCCCCATCAAAGTGCCAAGGGGGGTGGAAAGGTGGAGCGGAAGCTGGCAGCTATGGCGCCGGAAATGGCTGCGTATATCCTGGAATAGGAAGCCATCGCTATCGCCATCGCTGGCAATAGTTTTGCGGTGCTTTGGTCGCAGTTGCATTTGTATTTTACGATATGAATAGATCGCAGATTGGCGGGCAGCCGGGAAAAGGGCAATTATGAGGCTGTGGGGGTTGTTCCAATAAACCATATCGTCATATTATGATCTTATTCATATTTATTAGGGACTCTGTAAAGCTTGAATTTCAATAAAAAAATTTTAAAGGTATTAAATTAAATTTAATACATAAAGGGCAATTATGAGGCTATTGGGGTTCTTCCTATAAACCGTATTATCATATTTTTATCTTATCCAAATTTATTAGGGGTTTTATAGAGGTAGAATTTCCAAAAAAAGAAAACATTGTAAAGGCATTATTGTTTATATGAAGAGCAATTATAGGGCTGTTTAAGGCTGTTCTTATAAACCATATCATTATTTTATTATCTTATCCAATTTTATTATAAGTTCTATAACGCTAGAATTGGCAAAAAATAAAATTGTAAGGATACTACAACATTATTATATTCCATTTTGTTTATATATCAAATCAAAAATATTTTAAGAATGTTTTCTACTTACCTTATATTGATATCATATTTATAGATCTTATTTTAAGATAAGATAATATTTTCCATAGAAATCATTACTTTTATGTTAAGAAAAAAGGTAACAACTGATCCATAATATTAAACTACAATTATTTTTAAGTTACTCTGTTTTTTTTGTGGTTTTTGGAACTCTCCTAAAACTTAGTTCTATGCAGGACCCCATCCCCCATCGCTTTTTATCAGCCAGCCACCAGATTTCGTCCGCTGGCCAACCGGCGAACAAAGCCAGAGAACCGCGGCGAGATTTTCATTTCAATTTGCTGCCAAAAATGCCCACAGATTTCTAGAGGGGGTTTCCATGAAAAGCGGAAAAACGGGTAGCAGTATACAGAATGGGTAGGTGAAATCGGGAGCTCAGCAGACACGCAGTCGTTTGGTAGCTCGTTGGCCAATTTAGTTTTAACGTTGCAGCTGCTGCCTGTGTTATCATTCAATTGCCGCCTGCACTGCAAGTTTGCATAACAGGTAAAAAAATTAAAGGTGGAAGATGGAATGGGTAAATCTTACAGATAGGTTAAAAATTATATAACTATTGAGGAGAAAAACGGAAGGACAAACATATACTGAAAATAGAAAATATTTTTAATATTAAATAGAAAGAAATACTTATTTAAAGTGTAAATTGTTTACAGATTTTCCCTTACAGAACCTAGAAACGATATCCTTCGGATTCGACTGCTTTTCCGAGTGCATCCGATTAGTGTCCATAACTATGAGTAATGACCATTCGGGCCAGTAACTCCCATCTGCAGCCCCCGTCAAGGGTTTTAGCCGGATTTCGGGTCGAGTTTAATTGGGCGAGTGCAATGCTCACTTGGAGCAGAACCACTTGACTTGCCAGCCGAAGAGCCCAATTCGATGGAACGCCTGCTGAAATTAGCTTAACTAACCGAACCCCGGGGCAATAGTATCTGCTATCCATTCCCCTTTCCCCTGACCAAACTGACTACCCAGATCCCAGATCCCAGACCCCGTTCTCACCTCCACCCCGAAAGGCGATAGTTGTTGACAAGGATAACAGCCCGTTGGGCATTTTGACCCAGCGTCAAGTGCATGACTATCTGATTGCATTCTATGCGAATTTTGGCCGGAAAAGCGTTTAAAACATCGAACTGCGTGGGGGAAAACGTGATCGGAATTTAAGCTGCACAGCAAACAAATTGTTCTTATAAAGGAGACAACTTTAAACACATTTTTGACATGAAAAATATGGATATAATATTTAAAATATTTACAAAAATTCATTTTTTCAGCCTGAATTATAATATTTAACTTTCGTTTAATATTAAGTTCAACTATCCACTATAAAATGTTTAAAAATAATGACAACAGTTAGAAATTTATATCTACATCTATATTATTTAATGATCATACTAAGCCTTGCAATTATAATTATTAATATAATAAGTACATTTAAATGCAACCATTGCTAGAATTAAACAAATAGTATAGAGACATGTTTGAGTTGCATGTTTTTTCAGTGCTCTTGGAATAGAATAGGATCCTAATCCCATCGAGGGTTTGCCCCACTTGCATACGAAATTGGTTTAATTCAATATAATTTTCAAACAAACTTGTTTCTGCAACCACATCGGTTATGAGTCAGCGTTTTAAATTGCTTTTGTTCATGGCTAGCAGCTTTTTGGCCGCGGGCCATTTTCAGCTATGCTGTTCAAAAGTCTGGAAAGTAATTCTATTAAAAAATATTTAAAAAAAAAAGAACTACGTTCGGCCAAAAGAACTAACTACATCAGCAGGATTGAGGGAGCAGGGGAGGGGGTTTTAAAACTCGATAGCATTTTAGCTGAATAAACAAATTTCTTCGGCGAGCAAGCAAGAGCCAAGCAAATATGAAATTCCATTAATTTGATGGATGCTTCAGGCGCCAAGAAGCGGAGGAAATGTGTGATAGCATTTCGAGTACAACACCATGCACCCCACGGGGCGTATGATTAATGCAACTTTCTGCTGCCGACAGGCTAGTCAATGTCAGTGAAAGCACAATGCATTTATTAATGAAGAACAAAACATTCCGATGGAGCAATCTAATATCGAATTCACTTTGTTAAGGATACAAATTAAAAATGTAAAGGGTAGTTGCAAGAAATTATCTAGAAAATATGTGCTTTACCACCATTTGATTTACTTACATTTTTTCGATTTTGGAAAGAATAGAATTATTTTCCATACATAAACTCAATTACCTTCTTAAAAAACATTGTATCTAAAAGTACCGATTACACCTGAAATTTATTTCGAGACAAACAGCATTGCACAGTTAAGATAATCTTTATCTGCCCTATATACTTTTTCAGATTCATTGCAAAGCTTTCTTTCCATTATTTATGTTTTTAATAAATACCATCCTTTAAATAAATTGCTTTTTAAATTTTTTCAATGTTTTTCTACTAAAAAAATATCGCTTTCATACTTATTACGAATGCACAAAACAATATTTTGTTTCTGCGTAATTTCCCGGTGTCATTCGTCACACAGTGATATACTTTATATTGTATTTCCATACTCATAGGCTCATATATTATAATGTATACGATATAAATTGGTCCGTTCCTGTATAACAAAACATCTCATTGTATTTCTTAGCTATGTGATAATAGAAGATAATCCAGTAAAAGACTTTAATGTTTACTTTACAAACATGTCATGGTGAATGTATATTTATTTTGTATACTCTTTTACACTTAATCAAATCGATTTAATGGCATTTAAAATCCATTTTTTGAAGTAGGGGACACTGGTGAAAGCGGCTGTACCATTGCACATTCCCGAACCTGATGAAACAACACCCACAAGTTGTTGGTTAACAACCAGAGGTCCTCCGGAGTCGCCCCTACAAGTAGTTTGCCAAAAAGACCCGGCGGAAATAAGGTCCTGACGTAAAGAAAATAGTAATCCACCAAAAATGTTTGTCGGCCTGTTGATCTGAAGCAATACGCCTTGAAGATGTTTGGGATATGAATACTCCACGTCCTCAAGACCATTCAAATAACTATGCTGTGCTGACGTTGCTCCCCAACCAGAAACGAATGCGAGAGTTCCAGGAGCAGGATTATACTCGGCCAAAGGAATCGGTTGTACGTTGTTGGTAAACTCCAGCGGTTCACTTAATCGCATCACGGCAATATCGCTCTCAGTTGTTTTCGAAACATAAGTTTCGAAGGGTTTAATGGCTGCAACTTTGACAAGTCTTCCGCCGGTGTTGCTTAATGCGGATCCAACTCGAGTTTCAAAGTCCTTGGCATCAAGTGGTAATCCTTCGACCGTAATACAGCAATGTGCAGCAGTTATAATGATATCTTTGCTGTAAATGGAACCTCCACAAATATGACGTCCTTTAAACTGTAAGGAAACCTGCCAGGGAACCTGTTCGATATCAATAAAACTTCCTCCGATAATGCGTTCTTCCGGTTGCGGTACTCGTCCTGCAGATAGGACATTAAGTGTCAGTAGGAAAAGAAAGCAGCTGTAGAACATCTTGACTAGTTTGGAAGAGACTTTAGATCACAATGTCTAGACTACGAATAGAAAAAGTCTTTTATAGGCCACGGATATCATTATTTTGTGTGAGGGTATTGTCACATTTCCAAAATTAGACCCTGTTCTAAAATTGTAAAATGGGAACATTCTCAAAAGGTTTTCATTTTCACATTTACGATAAGCAAATTGAAAAGTAAATAATTAAAAAATGTTAAGCTAATTATAGGTGTTCAATTACCTATTGTGACAAACGAACGACTTACCTCTTGAATTTATTGGTTTTCTATATTTGGATAAAGAAGTTGAAGCAATTAGTCCTTTTAGATAAGTAAAGTTTCTGGTGGTAAGTATAAGTTCTTTTCGAAGAAATGTATTTAATCTGCGTTCTAATTGTATGATTATTTGTAGTCACCTATTTTAACGCAGGTGTGATGTGAAACATTATTTCCCTGTACAAAAAGAAAATTTCCTTTTTGGTTTGATTTTTAATAACAACCAATATCAACATTTCAGTAATAAATAATGTTTTACATTAGGAGCAATCGTATAGAAAATGATTACAATTTTGATATGCATATTGTAATGATTTATAAACAAAGCTTAAATGTTTTAATCGGTTTTAATAAATATGTTTTTGTTTATTTTAAAAACTAAATGAATGGAAATCAAAGAAAGTGTATCCGACCCTTTAAAGTGTATACATTTTTGATCAGAATAACTAGTCGAGTCGATCTAGCCATGTCCGTATGATCGCAATGATCTCTGAAACTATAAGAGCTAGAATTTAGGGATATAGTATACAAATTCTTGGGCTTTCTGCGCAACCCCAGGTTGTGTCACCTTCAATCCAACGCCCATAAACACCTAGCGCTCACATTTTTGAACACATTTTTTGGCATAAATTAAAATCTATTTTATTGATCAATACATACATTTTCATTCATAATAATAATCATAACAGTCGCTACATTAATTAACAAGTTATGAATTACTTAGTCAATAATTGAAAACGGACTTTTATGGTCAGTAGTACCGGTATCATACTCTATTTGACGCCACCTTAGGCAATCGACGGTATATCTTATTTTCACAATTGAATATTTTTCTGTGAAAATAACTTTTCTAACTTATCTTATATGACTAATTGCTTTAACGTCTTTCGCCAAATATAGAAAACCAATAACAGGTAATTGAACACCTATAATTAGCTTAACTTTTTTCAATTATTTACTTTTCAATTTGCTTATCGTAAATGTGAAAATTAAAACATTTTGAGAATGTTCCCATTTTACAATTTTAGAACAGGGTCTAATTTTGGAAATGTGAAAATACCCTCACAAAAAATAATAATGTCTGTGGCCTATAAAAGACTTTTTCTATTCGCACTCAAGTCATTGTGATCTAAAGTCTCTTCCAAACTAGTCGAGATGTTCTTCAGCTGCTTTCTTCTGCTACTGGCACTTAATGTCCTGTCTGCAGGACGAGTACCCCAACCGGAAGAACGTATTATCGGAGGAAGTCCCATTGAAATCGAACAGGCTCCCTGGCAGGTTTCCTTACAGACTCAAGGACATCATATTTGTGGAGGTTCCATTTACAGCAAAGACATTGTTATCACTGCTGCACACTGCTTTTTTACTGAAGATGGACAACAACTTCTGGCCGAAGACTTTATAGTTCGCGCAGGTTCCGCAATGAAGAACTCCGGGGGAACCCTTGTCAAAGTGGTAGCCTTTCAAACCCATGAGATGTTCAAAATTACTAACTTTAAATACGATATTGCCGTGATGCGAATAAGTGAAGCTCTAGAGTTAACTAACAAAGTACAGACGATTCCTTTGGCCGAGAAGAATCCTGCTCGTGGAACGCCCGCATTCTCTTCTGGCTGGGGATTTTCGTCACTAGAGTTTAATCATGTGGATGGATGTGTCGAGGTTGTTTCTCCTGTGAATCTTCAAGGCGTGCGACTCCAGATCAATTCGGCGGACTACAATGGAATGGTATTGAAAATACCTAAGGATGTAATTTCTGCCGGGTCTTTTAAACAAACTACTTGTAAGGGCGACTCCGGTGGACCTCTGGTTGTTAACCAACAACTTGTGGGCGTCGTCTCATCAGGTCCAAAATGGTGCGATGGTGATGCAGATTTTACCAGTGTCCCTTATTTCCGAGAATGGATTTTAAATACCATTGAATCTATTTAATGAAATGTACAAGAGTAAATAAAATGTATAGAAATTCACAATGGCATGTATTTAAAGCCAACTTTTAAATGCTTTTACTGGTCTCTATCTATTACTTATCCTTTATTATTACTTAAGCAACATAAATTTCTTACATTTAAGTCAAGCAAATATGTACATTTAGCTATAGATAAGAACAGTTTTAGAAAACAGTCGCCATTGCCAACGACCTCAACCAATGCCAACCCTTGACTGTGATATAAGTTTAGCTAATTGAAAAATACTCATTAACATTCCACTTGTTATGCATTTTTATGCTGTGGAATCTTACTACCAAAGTTATATTTGTACGCCTTTTCTCACTCCTCATTTAAACACCAGTTGGAAATGTTTATCCAGTGGATTTTTCTGATCTTAAGTGCCACCCTGATCTCTTCAAAATGGATTTCCGATCGCATCCTGGGAGGCCAAACGGTGCCAATTGAATCGGTTCCCTGGCAGGCTTCTCTTCAAAAGTTTGGAGTTCATTGGTGCGGTGCTGTAATATACAGTGAGAAAATCGTTTTAACGGCAGCTCACTGTACTGAACATGGTTCGCCTTCTATTTTCTGTGTTAGGGTCGGTTCATCGAATTCCGAGTTCGGTGGTCAGCTGGTGAAGGTATCACAAATACTGGAACATGAGAACTATGATCAGGGCGATGATATATCCAATGATATAGCAGTGATCCAACTTAAATCCACTCTCAAAATGGGCGTTGGTGTGAGATCTATTCCACTTGCTGACATTTCTCCAAGCCCTGGCTCGTCAGCTTTAGTTTCTGGATGGGGTGATAATGGAGTTGATGAGGTGTCATCTGAAAACCTACTGGTGACCACAGTGACCATAGTGGATTGGAATAATTGCCAGAGTTCCTGGAATGGAGAAATCACCAAGGACATGATTTGTGCCTTTGCTCCGGGAAGAGATTCCTGCTCAGGGGATTCTGGAGGTCCTTTGGTATCCGGTGGCCAACTAGTTGGCATAGTCTCCTTTGGAGCCGAATCTGACGATCCGGAGTCTCCCGGAGTTTACGCAAATGTCGCTGAGCACAAACCTTGGATCTTAAAAGCTGTTCAACGTTTGTAAAGACTCAAGAAATTAACTTGCTTTAAGAAACTTTTTTATATAAAATATATAACAATTTGATATAATATTTATAATAATAATATTTAATTTTATTGAAAAATAATTTCAATTTTCAATTTCCGAGACGTAAACGTTCATATATGTCTTTATAATGACGTGAACATACGGACATGGCTATATCAACTCACTGAGTGGAACTCAGCTAGTCACCCTGATTAAAAATGTGTTGATTTATATTTAAGGGTTTAAGCCAACAGCCGCTAAGGGCTTATTGAATACCATTTATAAATTCGTTTAGTTGACTTGTCATATTTTTAGGTCTTTCCGTAATTGGTTTCTTACAAGTGTTTAATTTTTAAAAAATGCATTAACATTCTTGTGTTACAATGTTAGAAATACGGAATTGCGTTTGCAACTAGGGTATACTACCTATAAAAAAAAGGTGCACACCTTCGCCGAAGTCACTCTTAACTGTAAAAGCATTTTGAAATGTTCGTCCAGTGGGTTTTTCTAATCTCCAGCGTTACCCTGATATCCTCCAAAGGGCTTCCGGAACGAATCGTTGGAGGCGAAGAGGTATCAATCCTATCGGTTCCTTGGCAGGCTTCCCTCCAAAAGTTTGGAGCTCATAGCTGCGGGGCTGCCATCTACAGTGAAGATATCGTCATAACGGCAGCCCACTGTATCAAAAACACTGATGTTGACATCTATTCCGTGAGAGTTGGCTCATCGTACACCTATTTCGGAGGTCAGGTGGTGAGGGTATCAAGGATACTGACGCACGAAGGTCACGCCAAAAGTATGTCCTACGATATAGCCCTGATTCGACTTCAGTCCAAACTTACGATGAATAGCAGAGTTAGCGCCATTCCTTTGGCCGGTAGTTCCCCCGAAAGTGGATCTCCAGCCACGGTTTCAGGATGGGGAGCTGTTGAATTTAATAAGGAACTGTCATTCGCCTTACGCAAAGTTGATGTGGACATTATGGATCAGAAGCAGTGTCTTAGGTCCTACGGAAGAATCATCACCCAGGACATGATCTGCGCAGCCGCCCCAGGAAAAGATGCCTGCTCCGGGGACTCGGGAGGTCCTTTGGTGTCCGATGGAAAACTTATTGGCATTGTCTCCTTCGGAACGGAATGCGCTCATCCAAAATACCCCGGAGTCTATGCCAATGTGGCCGAGCTCAAGCCTTGGATCTTGAGTTCTGTTGAAAGACTATAATAACTTTGTTAAACAAAGCTTGAATAAAAAAATGCTTATATTTCAATATACATTTATTAAAAATGGGTTGGGTTTAAATACAATTGCTATAAATAAACTCTGTTTTCCTTGGACAAAATATAAAATGACAATATTTTGGTCTGGCTGTGTACTTTTCAAAGTTAAAAGCCATTATATCAAAATAAATAAAGCTTGAATAAATTCAAAATGAAACTGTAATTCAGAGAAGTTTTTTGATGGGCAGGGGGGGCATATTATCCGTTACATAATCTTAATTATAATGAAATTTGTTAATGTAGTAACTAATGAAATCCGTGACTACATATTTACATACACAACTTGAGAGCATTTGTTTGTAATATTTTAAAATAACATATATTGTAAATTTTCAAAATAAACATATGTGTAAAGTAATTCTTAATTTGGTTCTACGCATTCTCACAGTTTCGGGAATTTTTCCAATTAGCTTAAGTTTAAACTAACTATTTCCTTTAATCAATTTTAGCTTGGTAACCAATGGTTACATAAATTGGCTTTCTAAAATTAAATTACAATTCTAACTTTAGATTTTAAAAAATTTCTAAAAATTAATTTGTTTATATTTATAGATTAAAAGCTTACTTATCATGGTTTCTTTTAAGTAATTATATTGCTTACTATTTATAAACATTCTTGAGTTAGTATGTTACAAAAATAGAACTTCGTTAGCGGTATATAAAGGAAGGGCATACCTGGGTATAGGACAGTCCCAACATCAACACCGTTCGAAATGTTCATCCAGTGGATTTTTCTGATCTCCAGCGTCGTTCTGGCGTCTTCCAAAAGGATTTCCGAGAGAATTGTGGGTGGTTACTCAGTGCCCATTTCCTCAGTTCCTTGGCAGGCCTCTATCCAAGAACATGGCATACACCAGTGTGGTGCTGCGATCTATAGTGACCAGATCCTTATAACAGCGGCACACTGCTTTCCCCAACATCCTTACGGCTATACGGTGAGAGTTGGCTCTACGAATAGGAACTTTGGAGGCCAGGTGGCTGAAATAGCAAACATCATCGTGCACGAAGGCCATCATGAAACAAACAACATATCTATCAACGATATTGCCGTGATTAAACTGAGTTCCAGGCTCAGGATGGATGACACAGTACGTTCCATTCCTCTGGCAGATAGTACTCCCCCAATGGGATCTCCCGCCTCGGTTTCTGGATGGGGACGTGTTGGATATAATCAACCACAATCCGACATTTTACTGGAGACCGCGGTGACCATTTCGAATTGGTATTCCTGCCGGTATTCCTACAGACAGATGATTGATATTACCAAGGATATGATCTGTGCCTCTGGTCCTGGAAGAGACGCGTGCACATTTGATTCTGGTGGTCCTTTGGTATCCGATGGTAAACTTGTTGGCATAGTAAGCTTTGGTAAGGGTTGTGCCTTTTCTGGTTACCCTGGCGTCTATGTTAATGTGGCTGAAAACAAGCCCTGGATCCTAAGTGCTATTCAAAGAATTTAATGCATTAAAAACCCCGAGGAAAAAAATATATTCAAATAAATTCGAAAATAAAGTTCTAATTGTTCATTAGCAAGCTGGCATTAAAAAAAACTATTTTCCGTTAAAAAATCTAAACATGCTTTTTTTTTGAAATGTCTATCTATTCATTAACATTCTTTCGCTGCGTTGGTGATAAAAATACACTTTACAACCTATAAAAGAGGGTAAGCATGTGTTCAAGTCAGTCTTAAGTCTAATTTTGGTCGGAATGTTAACCCAGTGGATCTCCCTAGTCTCCAGCGTCATTCTAATATCTGCTGAAAGTAATACCGATCGGATTTTTGAAGGTCACTCGGTGCCCATTTCTGAGATTCCATGGCAGGCTTCTCTTCATAGAAATGGAAAACATACTTGCGACGCTGTTATTTACAATGATCGGATTGTTATTACGACGGCTCATTGCATTCCCACAGATAATAATACTGAAATAACAATCCGAGCTGGCTCATCCATGAGTAACTCCGGTGGTCAGGTAGTCAAAGTTTCAAGAATCGAAATACACGAAGGATTTGGACAGAGTTTGTCCAACGATATAGCCGTAATCCGACTTCAGTCCCCTCTCCAAATGGGTGTCAACGTTAAATCCATCCCACTGGCTAATAGTTCTCCAAAACCTGAATCTTTTGCCTCGGTTTCTGGATGGGGACCTGTAGGATGTCATCATGCAGATTCTAGCTCTCTACTGCAGACCAAAGTGAACATTGTGGATATGGATAGCTGTCAGAAGATCTATGTCCAAGGTATTACGAAGAATCTTATATGTGCCGCGCCTTTAAAAAAAGGTTTCTGTTCAGGGGGTTCTGGAGGACCTCTGGTATCGGATGGAAAACTTATTGGCATCGTTACATTAGGAAATGGTTGTGCTCATCCGGACTATCCTGCGATTTATATTGATGTGGCTCAGCTGAAGTCCTGGATATTGAAGGCTATTCAACAGGTTTTATGTCCATGTTCAAAAAAGTATAATAATATAAAAAACAAAAATAGAATTAAAACAAATTTTAAAATAATAACTTAAATAAATTACTTTTCTTAAGATCACATAAATCTTAAATCTTCATGAAAATTTCCATCGCCATCTGGTGGGCAAAGTTTATCCGCGACGTCCGGAACTATTTGCATGCACCACTTTTTCTTTCAGTTGGCTCCTTCAGTGGACCCTGATATTCTCCCTTTTTCCGGGATTGTCTGCAACTTAATCTCCCCGCTGAGTTTGGGGCAAGAAAAAGCGATTTCCGAGTCATTGGGCAATGCAAACTATGCAATATAATCGCATGATATATGCCTAATCTCTGCTGCAAACTTCCCATGGCCGAGAAAATGGAAAACGGAACCCGGGGAAAATACCCAGCCGCTAAGCCAGTGGAAGCTGCCTTTGGAGAGTCAATTCCAGCGATTAAATTAAGAATGCATAACTTGCAGGGTTAACAATGTTACAGGACTATGGACTATGGGGTGGGGATAAGGAATCGGTGGATAGGGCGTAAAGGACCCATAGAACAGGGAGCAATTGCCTTGACAGGAGCACGAACGGAGTCCCTGATTTTTATTTGCCATTCTCTTTGCACCCATTTCTCCACTCTTTCGCGAGAGTGCAAAAAAGAAAGTAGAAAGCGGTGCAACCTCTGCTACTTATCTGCTTTTTTCAATTTGCGATTTGTTTGCTGCAGCCCCACTGCTATTAAAGCACTGAAAAAAATGCATTGAGATTTTCTTATTTAAATAAAATATATTTTTATTTAAATTTTAATAATTAATTGTTTTAATGACTGTTTTTTATTACTTAGACTTTTAAAACTACGTTCATAAATGTATTTCTGTAGCCATTTTTTTTATAAAGGGAAATACAAAATTTGAGGAACTGAATTTCCAACCAAATTGAATTCCATACACAAATAATCCATCATTTATGTATACGTTTTTAAATAAATTAGTTTGTAAGGACCACATTTCTGTTTATGGTGATTTTAAGTGTTGGATTCAAGAAAGTTTGTTCTCCACAGTGTACTATTCCTGACCTCAGCCTTTCCCTGTCCCTTTCTCCCATCAGGAAAGTCATGTCGGAAGGCGTCCTGTCTCTGGATCCTGTTCCCCATCCTGTTTGCTTATTTGTTTGCACTCTTGGACATGGAACGTGCCTGCCCGGGCCTTTTATAAACATCTTGTATAACTGGCGGGCAGTTTCCTTCATCCGCCACCCACTTTCACCCACTTTCACCCATTACCCGCCGTGCCTCCCCTTATATATTTGTTTTTAATACAATTTCTTCTTTGCTGCGCTTTGCTTTGGGTTCTGCAAATAGTTTTCATAAATGTTGTGGTTATATAATAATGGTGGAGTGGTGTAGGGTCGCCTCCCAGTGGCCATCTCTTTTAATTTGTTCAAAAGCGAGTAAAGGGAAACAAAAGCCAAGCAGCTGAGGCCAGGATATGTTGCTATTACAATAGAAGATTACCACACCTTTTTTGCATCCCTTTTATACGTCGTTTATGCGGAGCAGTTTATAATATCTCTTGAAGTAAACAAGTGAGAATAACAAAAACGATTATATAGGTGTCCAAAAGTAAGCAATAGTATTTTTAAAGTCGTGAAGTCCCTTTTTAAAGCATACTTTTAGGCACTTTTATGGGGGATTTCAAAACTCTTGAGCTTTCTGTACAAACACATATTATTGTAAATAACAAAAACGATTATATAGGTGTCCAAAAGTATGCAACAGTATTTTTAAGTAGTGGAGTCCCTTTCTAAAGCATACTTTTAGGCACTTTTATAGGTGATTTCAAAACTCTTGAGCTTTCTGTACAAACACTTATTATTGTAAATACTTTTTACGGATTTTCCTTTGCATCCCGCATAACTGTTAGCATTTTTCCTGCCGGACATATAATTGAATTAATCCCAACTCTCCTTATACCTTTTTTATCCACCTCGTTTGTTTACTCCTTTCACAAAACCCCCTCACAGTGCTAAAAAAAAGTTAGCACACATGCACTATTAGCTTACGACAGCATATTTGCAAACGTGTACGTTAACTTTTTTGACCACCAGACATTAAACACACACATCCTTATAACCCAGTAAAAAAAGGGTTAAGTCCAAACAACAGCAAAAAATATGGGATCTCAGCTGCATTTGTGGGCGGTTGTGGCCTGGCTGGCTGGAAGGGGGCGTGGCACAAAGGGCAGCATGTGCCGTTGTCTTTATTGCCGGCTTTTAAATGTTAACAAAGTGCGTACTTTGTTGTGTGCTTAACTGGCATTAAGAGCGACTAAAGCAACACACACAAAAACCCCAATCATTAACTTGTCTTTTAATACAGAGTGCACTCCATAAAAAAGGGAAGGAATTTTAAACGAGATGCGTTTAGTTAGCACAGCATAAAAGGCGACTAATTTGCAATGAATTCTTTTTATTCCTGCAAGGATTTATGACCTCTTGAACTTAATTTAATGGGTTTCAGACAACTAAAATGTTATATTTTGAGTAGATTTCTATATTAATTTTATTAAAAATTTAAACACTTAAATATTAAAGGTTTAATACAAAGTATTGAATAATTTATAATATCTCTCTTTCATTTTCCTATAGCATAAATGGGTAAAATCACTTAGTTTTGACTTTCATTAATATATTACTATCTGCAAAATATATTTGTTTTTCATTATATTTAGAACCTATTAATAATCAACGACTATTAATATTTCTTGACTATATTTACATGTATTTATGCTTAACAATTGCTGCCTACAAAATTAATGAATAACCAAGCAAATGTCAAATGGTTTCTAATTCTCGTTTATTATGTTTGAGCAATGGAGAATTTTGCAAACGAAACCAAAGCCAAAATCTTTTGGTTGCCAGAGCACTGAGATTGAGAACATTTTCTGGCCAAGACGCTTTTGGTTGAGAAACCGCACGACACACTCGACCTGTCAACACATTTGGCCCCTTTGAACCCCTTTTCCTGCCTCCCAAGGCTTCTTCCTCTTCGTTCCCCTTTCTTTTGGGCCGCACTCGAAGGATTCGCATCTGACATGACCATATATCGTATATTATTATGCATGCAGTGCCAGGCAATGGCCAGAAGAATATTCAAAGCATTTAGCAACTCATTGTCCCTTTCGCCAGCACAGAACCACCAGCCACATCAGCCGGCAACAGGAAAACCCAAGACGATGACGATGAAGACGGGGAAAAATGTATTCATGGCCCCCCAAATTGTATAATTTAAGTTTGCACATAAAATCACACCGCAAACTTGGGAAAAAGGCCCGAAAAGTAGAAGCCGCAACAACAACAGCACTCAAGTGAACTGACATAGATACGGGGATATGTGAATTGCTAGGGGAGCATATATTATACAGGGGGAATTTCTACGGACCAGGGATGGAGAACCATATATTGTCAGGGGTGTCCTATAGGGAAATTAGCAAAGGTAACATGTCTGGGTTAAAAAAAATTATATTTTTGATAGTAATGTTTATTCCTGATAAATATTTATAAAACTAAAAAGTAATGATTATTTCTAAGCAATATATAATAAAACTTGAATCTTGAAAACTTGAACCTATTACTAGGAATAATAATAATAATAATATACATAAGACCTATCATATCAATATCTTATAAGTATATTTATGTTTTCTTGACAGATTATTATAGATAATTTTAATCACAATAAATTTGTTTGAATATTTCTAATTCTTAAAAGAAGAAAGAAACTTGCAAAATTGTATAATATAAGATGCCTTTATATATAATACCTATAATATATAATATACATAAGACCTATGATATTAATATCGTATAGGTGTGTTTATGTTTTCTTGACAGATCATTATAGATAATTATTATGATTTTTTTGAACATTTCTAGTTCTGAAATTTTCTAAGCCCTGAATGCGAATTTCCCTAACCAGTTTCGTACTTTTCCTATACCCTCTTCCCATTCTTCGAATTCGGTCGCCTCTATTACACAGTTGAGCACACAACGGAACCGAATTTCGGAACCACTCCACTCAACCCGCCCACACATCAAATTTAAATATTTTAAAGAGGAAACCGGACGAAGGACGCAGGACACACCGACAGAAGGCACAAAGCACAAAACTTGTGTGCCATAAAAGCGCTATAAAATTGCACAAATAGCATCGGAGACGTGAAGATCCTGCAAAGAGATTGGGGGTACATGTGTAAGTAAAGTTCCAGCCCGATATCTGCTGACCTAAGTGCGTGTGCACAAGGACCTTAACGAGTGAGTGGAGGTCCTTTTGCGGCGACTCCTTTTTGGCCAGTTCCTAGCAGCAATGTAAGTCATTGTCATCGCCTTCGTATCGGACTCATTTGCCAAGAGGATGATATCTCGGTTGCCTTTTGTGACCTTTTGCCACCCGCAAAACGAAACCTGATTTCGTTTTAATTTTTCCTTTCTTTCTTTTGGGGTTTCCTGGGCGACAATCTCAACACCCAACACATCAGCAAAGTTATGGCACACCAAGGCTTTCACACGGTCCATTTCGGGGCGACAAATTGGTCTTAAGGCTGTCAAAAGGGTCTACGCTCAAAATTCTAAACTCCTGCATTTTACGGTGAATTTTTAAGGGTCTAATTCCCATCAGAAGTCCTTCTTTGGTCATCAGTTACTGGGGGTTTCATACTTACTACGAACTTGGGAGGCATTCTGTGGGATGCCTTAATTAGAATGCCATAATGGAACTGCCACACACACACACGGCTCATAAATAATTTATACGCCATGAAAACGAATGTGCAAATTTAAATAATCAAATTCTATTTTGGGGGGAAGAAGCAAATATTGTACCCTCGGGCATTCACACACAATCATCAATCGAAAGAAACCACTCTTGGGTTAAATCGAAGGGCTGGCAACTATTTGGCCAGACGGAGAAAAAGGATAAATGAATTTGCATAAAATTTAAGTGAAAGCATTTTCCACCTGAGATTCAAAAGAGCTGCCTTTTCACTCCGGAACCTCAGCAGATTATTCCTGTGGCCCTGTGGCCTTCCATTTGGCATGGCCGTCAATCTGTCAATTTAAGACAACAATTACGATAAGTGAGTTGGGAAATTTATTAAGCCAATCAATGGGTTATGTCAAACTTTAATTGTCTTGGCTTGTCAACTTTGTGAAATGGCCAGATGTTTTTGGCTTCTGACAAATATGTAAGGACTTTAATTCTCATGTATTTTATTTGACAGTATAGAGGAATGTAGTTCGATTTGTTGTCTTTAATTGGTGAGCTTTTGAATTCTGTGGCATTTCTGATAAGGATTGTTAATTGTACCTATAAATCAACCAGCTAAATGTGTTTCTTCGTTGTTGAACAAACCCATTCTTTGCGAAATCGTTGGTTATTTTAATAACAAGTTCTTGCGATCAAACTTAATTTCAGCATAGCACTTCTTTTCAACTACCAACCAAGCATTGCCAAAGTTTCTCAGATAGAATGGATTAAATTAAAAGCTAAAACTTGGGAGTACATACCCATCCATTTTACCTCTTCCCCTCAACTTTATACCCGAATGCACCTCGACCACTCCTTAACTTCTCCCCGGGCTAAACCTCAAACTCGGCACCCACAACAACGACAACTTTAATTAAGTGAAAATTATGATGCTGTCAGGAAAAGAAGGAGGAAAGGAAATGAAAGGAAAGGCGGGGAAAGTGGGTGTGGCCCGCTGGTCACACGTGGCGTATGAATAATGCACAATCTCAACTAATTAAGCCGAGTAAATGCATTAACAACTCGCCGCGGCCTCTGGCCCCAAAAACTGCAATTTTGTACAGCAGTGCAGGGTTTCCAAAAGTAGCAGCAACAACAATTTCGGTAACATATTGTTTGTTTTAATTAAAATTTCTGTTCCAAATATGCGACGAACCAGGACGAAAAGCAACGGGGTAGTAGTATTAAATATCCTGAAAGTAAACCATTTAATAGGGAGTTCAGAAAATTAGCTACCATGTGTACAAACCGCTTATATCCAAACCCAAAAATCAATATCTGGAAAGTCCATATCCGGTTCTGTGGCCATTGCCGCTTCCATTGGACCTCGAGGTATCGGAAAGGCTTCTATAGTGATCAGAAAACCAAATAGCACAAGGCTATATAATAGAAAGAAACTCATTTGTACTCTTTCAATTTTTATCTGTTTTTAACATATGATTTTATTACGTTTTGACTGAAAGTAAAAGGCTAATGCGTCTCAGAGCATTAGTTATCGTTATAATAGTCAATATCCTCATGTGACTGCTTACGGGTAGGCCTATGAGCATATGCAGTATATGCCACAAACAAAACATCAGTCTCCCCATCGGACTTCTCATTTGACTCCCAACTGAACTCCTCGTTGGACTCTCCATAGGGCTCCTTCCTGGACTCCTCATTGATCTCCTCCTCCTTATTGGACTCCGAGTTCCCTTCTTTATTTGGTTTTTCAGAGGTGGATTCTTCAGTGGTAACCTCAGAAGTCTTATCGATAGATGCTTGGCTAGATTCCTTAGAGAATTGTAAAGTGTCAGTAATTGAGCAACTAAATGATTTTGAAGTTTACTTTGCATTGGATATTATACTAACTTTTGTGTAAAACCATGATGGAGAAGTAACACGTTTTTCAGTATAATCTCCTTTACTCCGAACTTCAATCTGATTTTTAGAGCTTTTCGAACTGAATTTAGGCCTGGCAGCAACCAAGACCAAGAAAACCACAAAGTAAAAACAAAAGGTTTGAGCTCGGAACATTATCGATTGAAATTTGGCTTAAGAATGGTTAAACTTCTCGGGCCTAAAGAGGTTTATATACTCATTCAAACGTTTACATTACGAATAGGAATTTCCATCAGACTTAAACAATCAGAAGTAGTTATTTCTTAACAAATGGTTTGCAATAAAACTAAATTGGTTTACGTTTTGCAGAGTACTTAAGATAAGTGTGTCTGTCTAAGTGAAGCTTACTAAGTATCAGAAAATACAACTTTCAAGTTAAAGTATTTAAAAATAAATATTCTAATTAAAAATGATTTCTTAATTTTAAAGAAATTTGAAAAATGCGTAATCAGAAAATAGTTTCTTTCATAATAAAAATAAAGCAAAGAACAAACATATGTATGGTAATTTAATTATAATACATTTTCTCACTCAATTATATCGACAGTATTGCGTACATTAAATCTTTGATTTTATCCTACTCTTCCGTGGAATTCTCAACCTCATCCTCCCGTGGAGGTGGCTCCGTTTGCCATCTGTGACCCATGGCATAAGGTGGTTTTGAGTATGTTTTCACATAGAAGGTTCCATTTTTCGGAATCGAGGGCTCACCACCCATACGGAATTCTCCATCGCTCATGAGGAGGACCCAGGTGCCATCATCATGACGCTCACAGCGGGGTCCCCAAAATCCCGCCGGACTCGTCAGGGTCTCAACGAAATAATCATGGGATCTCTTATGCGAACAGCCATATACATAGCATTTCTTTTGATTTTTTCCATAGTTGGGATAAAAGGTGGCGTGTCCCACGGGCTTTTCAAAACCAAAACTAACGCTGGTTTGAATGGACTCCACATAGGAGGCATCACTGGCATCTATTCGATACTCATCGCTCTTCTCTCGGAACTGAGGACCGGCCGGATCCAGGGCATATATGGTGTTAAACCGATGTGGCATGATCTGTTTGCCAGCACTTCCAGCTATTTGAGCTCCCAGCGAGTGTCCAATCACATAGACATCGTCGTAATGCATATCTGCCTCCTGATGGAGATATCGCACCAGATCCGCCAGCAGAGCACCCATATCCTCCACCGTCTTGGCCACCTCGTAATAGTTAATATTCGTAGAAGTCTTGCTCCAGTCGCATACGATCACATTGAAGTCCTCGTACCGAGCGGGTTCTCCATTGATTCCCGGATGGGTCAGGCTCAGATAGGCGTTTTTAACTCTTCTTATATGAGAACCCTTGCTCTGACTCATCCAGCCGTGAATAACAATTCTAAAAAAAGAAGAAATCAGAAAAGAACAATAAGCCGTGTTTGTAAAAACTCAAAACCTGATATCATTCCTTCTTAATGCATAACTGGGCTTGAAAGAACTTTTGGCCTCAAGCTTCATTTTGAACTAAAAGATAAGGCTACAGAATTTATAAATGAAAATGTTTGTTCTCGAGAATGTGATGTTAAAATATACTTCTCTTTATAAATATTAGAATGGTATTGGTATATCTATGCCTCGAAATAAACAAAACTTATAACATCTTTGATCTTTTACCTTATTACAATTTTAATGCAATATTGGTGTAGCGCTCTGTTAAAAATGAAGCAATTATTATCAGTTTTCCTGTTAATATATATTAATATTTAATTGGCAATTATTTAAGTGTCAGTCAAATGGCAATGACTCAAAACGCGATAACCAAAACGCGAAGCTCACCGAAATAATGTAAATATATAAGGCAGTGAAACCTGTTCTCGTGTTAGACGCGAAATTTAAAAATTAAATTATTTGGTGAGAGAATGCAGCAAATATTTGTTTTGATTCTATTCATTAGATTGGTTTTTGCTGTCTCGTTAATTTTTTGGGTTTAGACGTAAGTAGCATCCATTAAATGGGAATAATGAATACACTGTCAATTGTTTTGTGTTAAAAAGTTTGCACAGCTTTTACTTCGCTATTATCCCACAGTTAAATGTAAACAAATTGTTTGTTGCACAATCATTTAACAACAACAAAAAGTTCCCCATTCGATTTGCAATCTGGGGCTTTAATCTACCAGGAAATCCCCCTTACCTCGTTTGGTGACGTGCATTGAAGCCCGAGTTCTTAAGGTTTTCCACATCGCCAATGAACAATTCTTTTCCGCAGTCCGCGAAATCCCGCTTGAAGAGAATGAATTCCATTTTACCCCTCGAACTAGTGAACGGTATCAAATGCTTGAAGAACTTCTTCCAAAATGAGGGATCCACCCCCAAAGTCTTCTTCTTGACTAGGGTGTAATTGCAGCTGGCATTGGGGTCAAGTTCGGTTTTTTCTGAGCTACTGGCTGAAAAATGTAGTAATATATTATAAAGACTTGGATATTGGTAAAACACCATTAGGTCACAATCAGTAGCATCTATACTGAAATACTTTTCTTTGAGTTTATATGTTGACAAACAACCAACAAACTCATTTATATGGAAGAGTAATTACATTTAATTTAAGCTGTAATTACGTTTTTAATTATTCAAACACAATTCATTAGGTGACCATGAACATTAAAATATTGGCTTTTTTGATAAGACCTTGCTAATTTGTTTATTTCTCACCAAGTACGACGGCCACATATGCCAAAAGCACCGCACCAATAATGCTAATCCGTCCCAGCTGCGAGATCATGGTTGTTCCAAGATATCTCCCTTGGGGCTTCTGACCGATCGAGTAGTGCGTGCGATGACCGATCTCTACCGTTAAAGATTTCGCACTACGACAAAACGAGCCGCAGATCTGACCCGCTCAGTAGTGCCCGACTTACTGAAAAAAAACTCTCCGACAATCGACAGATCTTCGAGCGGAAAAGAGAGCGCGGCGACCCCATGTCTACGCTCACCAGACCCCTTACTCTGGTGATCACTGATCACCGGCTCTCACTCGCTCTCTTCAAATAACAATATTGCGATAATTACTGGGGAGCAGGTCCAGAAGCAAAGTGTTAATTCCTAATGATATATTATCGACTAGGAAGGAGATGACTAATGATCTTGAAAAAAAATAATTCCAGTAGTGAATATAACGATCGAAAATATATACTTTCAGGATCGTTCTGTGCTAGAAATAATATTGGTTAGTAAAAAATGTATGTATTTATAAACTTCACATAAAAAGTTTGTATAAATATTAAAATTTTTAAAAATATTTAATTAGTTCCCCCTGGGGTTATGTTTTCTTTCTCCTCCCGTGAAGGTGGCTCTGTTTGCCACCTGTGACCCATGGCATAAGGTGGCTCTGAATATGTTTTTACATAGAAGGTTCCATTCTTCGGAATCGAGGGCTCCCCACCCATTCGGAATTCTCCATCGCTCATCAGGAGAACCCATGTGCCATTTTCATAACGCTCGCAGCGAGATCCCCAAAATCCCGCCGGACTCGTCAGGGTCTCAATGAAATAATCATGAGATCTCTTATGCGAACAGCCATATACATAGCACTTCTTTTGATTTTTTCCATAGTTGGGATAGAAGGTGGCGTGTCCCACGGGCTGTTCAAAACCAAAACTAACGCTGGTTTGAATGGACTCCACATAAGAGGCATCACTGGCATCTATTCGATATTCATCGCTCTTCTCTCGGAACTGAGGTCCCGCCGGATCCAGGGCATATATAGTGTTAAACCGATGTGGCATGATCTGCTTGCCAGCGCTGCCAGCAATTTGAGCTCCCAGGGAGTGTCCGATCACGTAGACATCGTCGTATTGCATATCTGCCTCCTGATGAAGATACCGCACTAGACCCGCCAGCAGGACACCCATATCCTCCACCGTCTTGGCCACCTTGTAATAGTTAATATTCGAGGAAATCCTGCTCCAGTCGCATACAATCACATTGAAGTCTTCGTATCGAGCTGGTTCTCCATTGATACCCGGATTGGTTAGGCTCAGATAAGCGTTCTTTAGCTTTCTCATATGGTCTGCGTTGCTCTGGCTCATCCAGCCGTGAATAACAATTCTAAGAAAAGAAAAATCATAAAAACGCTTAGAAATATTATATCATTCTTTCTTAATGTATAACTAAGTGTGAAAAAATGTAGAACTAAAGGCATCATTTTTCTGACTCCAACTCTCAATACTTAAGCTCCAAAATAAACAAACTTATTTAAAGTACACTAGTCGACATAAGTACTTTCACGAAACAATCATGTATTTTAACTCAAAATTGCTGTAGCACATGGTGTATGTGTTATCAAATTTACAAAATATTATACGTTTTTTAATCAGGAAATAGCTCAAAACGCGATAGCTCTAAAGAAAGCTCACTGAAATAACGTAAATATAGCCAGGAAACAACAAAATTAAATTTTTTAGCATATATTGTTTTTGGATTCTGTTCACTAGATTATTACTAATATTATTATTATTAGATTTTCTGTTCTCCCAATAACTTTTAGGGCTTAGACGTAAGTAGCAGTCATTAATTGGGAGTACTAAATAATGGCTTGAATAAAACAGGAAATTACCTCGTTTGCTGACGCGCATTGAAGCCCGAGTTCTTCAGGTTTTCTACATCGCCTATGAACAATTCTTTTTCGCAGTCCGCGAAATCCCTCTTGAAGAGTATGAATTGCATTTTATCACTCGAACTAGTAAACGGTATCAAATGCTTAAAGAAATTCTTCCAAAAAGAGAGATCCACCCCGAAAGTCTTTTTCTTGACCAGGGTGTAATTGCAGTTGGCATTAGGGTCAAGTTGTGTTTTTCCTAAACTGCAGGCTGCAAATTTTAGTAAGATATTATTAAGGTTTAATACTTTATAATAATAGCTTAATATTAGCTTTTTTGACAAGACTTTGAAGACTTGTTTATTTCTTACCAAGTAAAATTATTGCAAATGCCAAAAGCACCGCAACAATAATGCTAATCCGTCGCAGCTGTGAGACCATGGTTATTTTGGAAGAAATCTTCTTGGGGACTTAGACCCGTCGAGCAGTGCGTGCGAGGACTTACAGATTTAGCTCTACGGCGGAACAAGCCGGCAGCTCTAACCCGCCCAATTGTGCCCGACTTACTGAAAAACTTTTCGACGATTGTCAGATCCTCAAGAGGAATAGAGAGCGCGTTTCGCACTTGCTCTCTTTCTTTAAATATTATCGCAATAATTACTGGGAACCAGCTCCAGAATTAAAGGGGACTTTCTTATGAAATATCAGATGACTAATAGCTAAATTTCAAAAAATAAATATGAATTGTATTGGAAATTCCAATTTAGAATCTTTTTAAAAATCTACGTTATTTATAAAAAACAAGAAAGAATGTTAGCTTCGGAAGGCGAGGCTTGAATACCCTTGCAGTTATAAGCAATTCTCCATGTTAGTAACACCATTTTTAATTCAAAGATTATGTACCTGAGAACAGGATAAAACGATGATATAGTCACCCAATTATTTCCAAATTAAATTCGAAATTATAAAATGTTGAAAAATGTATATTTTGAGGATGACCGAAACTACATTTATCCAATTATATGGCAGCTATATGATATGGTTGGTAGATAGACAGGCGGACGGGCAGACATACATACTTTATACTGTACTTTATGACTGCAAGGGTGTAATAACTCCAATTCCTAAAACCACTTAAATTGATTGATAAGCAACAATGTCTTTTTAATATTTTCCTTGCAATTTTAATTGGAAGCCTGAAAATATCTAACAAGTTGTTATAAAATATAAAATCTTCTAATTTAAAAACCCTTCTGGCGTTAATTGACTTCTCCCCGGTGCACATGTTTCCTTCAGTACACGAATGAAAAACACATAAAAATTTAACCGCTTCACCCTTTCTAACCCAGATAAGTTAATTACCCCATTAAGTTGACCTGGTGTACAGCCTGAAAAAAGGCTTCGTAATGAGTTTGGTTTTTCAAATCCTGGGGCAGCATTTTTATGGCTGTCAGTCAGCGAATGATTATCGCAGATCCCGAAAATGTTCAGACCTATCGGCTAATTGCCTGGCCCTAATCACATTCGAAACCCGCTTAATTAAGCAGCCCCGAGTGCATAATTCATTAATCCAGACTCAAATGAGGCGACAAATTTTCAGTCACTTAGCGAGTCAATTTTTCGGCTGGTAAAGAAACTGGAAAATCGAGATGGGGTGGCAGAGTACCTCGTTTTTCCACCTGAGCCACATTAAAACGTTTTAATTATGCAAATTTGGGCGAGCCTTGTTGATTAGAAAATCCGCAAGAGGAGTACGACGTACCCTTGACGAGGTTATGCAGTGCACCTTAGATTGGCAAAAGGACCTCCAGGCATCAATCAATATGCAAACAGAACCGAGGGGCAGGATAAACACGCCCTTTTCCCCTTGGAGACCAATAAATTTGGCCAACCACCAATTAGATGTTGGAAATTAATTGGCAATGCCTCGCGGCTAACTCAAACGGAAAACGGATGTGAAGTAGAAAATTTAGGGCTGGAGGTAAAATCTGAATTTGGTTCTTGGGCAACAGACATTTGGGCACTTGACTCACGGAACTAAGAATTTTACTGTACTTTGTCACCTTTCCATTAAACCTTTGTCATGTGTCGACAAAAGTTTTTCCTAAGTTTTATTCACCAACTTATCCCCAAAGATTAAAGCAGAAGTGGGCTTCCTTTAAGAAAAGTTTATAGACATTAAAGCACTTTTATGAAAGCCCCGAAATCTTTCATATTTTTTGTTTATTGATAAAAGATTTTAAAATTCATCCTCAGGCCATCACTGCTTTTATTCTTCAAACATTTGTGATTGAAGTTCCTTAAATCTCTGGATTTAACAATAAATATTCACTGATTATTATCGGGAAACAATTGTTGATACAGATTTCTGTGAACTACCTTTAAAAAATAAAATGGTATTTCTAAATTGTTAGAGTGACCACAAATACAAAATAGTTTAAACAATAAAAATCCATCTTCTGCATAAGCAAACCTCCCTCAACCACACCCCTATTATTCCTTACCGCTTGCCCATCACTTCACCGCTCAAAGTTTCAAAGCGGGGGGTGAAAAACTTTTCTGGTCATGGAAAACGGAAAAACTGTAAATCCACAACTAACATTTTTAAGCATAACAAAGTACGACGAGATTTCGAGAATAAATCTTGACGCCGCTTTTGGTTTAGTCAGGCATAGCCCCAAAAACGCTTATTATATGGTTCAAGGGGGCAGAAAACCGGAATGGGGGATGTTTTGTCCTCGGGACTTTTTAGTTTTTGACTCTACAACGATGACTGCAACTTTTTCTATTGACTTAATGCAGTTGGCAAGTGCAGTCAAGTTTGGACTTGGACAAGGAAACTTTAAAGATTAACTGCAGGAAAAGTCAGGTTTTTGGGTGGTGAGTATTTTCAGATTTAATGCACAACAAAGTTGGTTTTCACATACAACTCATAGGTTTTTTTGACCATACAAAACATATAATTTAACTTTTTTTTTAAAATTTGTCCCTATAAATTTTAGTGCTATATTGGATAGTTGAAAATGCCTGTTAAAAGTATACTTGGTATTTTGGCCACTGCCGGCTCTTTTTTCGCCTTAGGAGCCTATTATCAGCACATTGATGTGATGAGAAATATTAGAAGATTAGAGCAACGAAATCCACATGCCTACTTCATTAGAAGGAAACTTTACGCTTTGGTAAGAATTGATTTTTGGGTATAAGGGATCAAAAAAATTAATAACAGTCCTTTTTTAGAGAAGTATTATATCTTATCCCCTAATATATCATGAAATCATAATATTATAAGATATATTTTAAATAACATCCCTTTCCAGCTGGGACTCTTTACTATAAGAGCCGATGGCAAGGAATTCGACGTGGAACCCGATGATTGTCACAAGCTGGGCGGGATCATGAAGTACGGCTTCCCCAGTACAAATGATATTAGTCTAAATGAGACCTTCGACTTTGTGACGTCTTTCGATCGGCGAAACTCCGCAGTTCAGTGGATGTGTGAGCGGGTAGACCTAACGGATCGTTTGTTCTATGGAGATTCCTCATCTGTGGCGCCAGCTGGAGCCTTCAGCCAGTCGGAGGCATCTAGGGTATTCTTCTTATCCAATATTAAACCCTTTCTGAACAGAGGATTTAACCTCACCGTTTGGGATCGATTGCTAAAGTACGTGGATGAGATGAGTCAGAAACATGGAACCGTATACGTATACACCGGATCCATTTATTTACCCCGTGAGCTTAAATCCAATAGTTGGTTCCTGGAGTTCCAAACGGAAGAGAGAACCATGGTGGCCGTACCGACGCATTTCTTCAAGATCCTGGTTATCGATCCAAAATTTGAGGGGAATGCCATTCCTTATGCGGAGGCTTATGTGATGCCCAACACTCCGCTAAACAATAATGTCGAACTGAAAACCCTTCTCAGCGATGTCCGGGATATAGAAAATGCAACGGGTCTACGGTTTTTCGAAGGACTAGACCGTAACTTTGTCAACACCCAAGTGACCAGTTCAGTAGCCAATCCATTAAACAGTCTTATAACTAATTCTGTAAATAACCCAGTACCCAGTAACTTTGCCAACCGCAGTGCCATAGCATCTACTAAGTAGTAAGAACTAAATAAATACATGTTTGAATAAAATCTTTAGGATTGTTTAATATTATAGAAACTAAATTAAAGATCATAAAGTAGAGCATGTTAAACAGAATGTTAGCCTTGGAAAACACTTTAAATTTAAAAATTCTAACTGTTTACTTTTAATGGTGGTTATCGTATCCCATTCATGGACCGAAAATGGCAACTTTTAGGATTTGGGTTTCTTTTAGGAATCACTGCACTTTGTGCATCCTTTGTGGGTGGAATGTATTTTCAGCACAATGATGCCAGAAAACGTTTACAGAAGATAATACAAAAGGATCCATATGCCTACTATGTTAGCCCCAAAATTTATGAAGTGGTGGGTGAGCGAGAAAAATCGTATAATTCATTTTAAACCAATATCCTGTCAGTTTACTTTCTTTGAGGCCCACGATGATGCTGATCACCGGATGAGACAAATCATGAAGTATGGGTTTCCAGGTCTTGATGATTTACGGCTTTATAGTGACTTTGTGCTCTCCTATGATCGTCGAAATAGAGTTGCCCACTGGGTGTGTGAGCATCTTCAGGTCGACAGCATCCATTCCCGTAGTGGTAGACGAGGTCGCAACCCATACCAACCAGATATGAGTGTTCCATCCAACTTTCGCTCCGAATTGACCGACTATCGAAGATCAGGATTCGATCGAGGACACTTGGCTGCCGCTGGGAATCATCATTTACAGCGAAATCACTGCCAGGATACTTTCTTTCTAACGAATATTGCCCCGCAAGTTGGTCAGGGCTTTAATCGAGGAGCTTGGAACAATTTGGAAAGATATGTTCGAAACCTGGTCCATCGATTTGGTTCCGTTTTCGTTTGCACTGGACCGCTTTATAAGCCCAAACAAAGATCAGGAGGTAAATTGGGAGTGGAGTATGAAATGATAGGATTGAATATGGTAGCAGTTCCCACGCACTTCTTTAAGGTTATCATGGTGGAATCAAAACTTCATCTAGGTAAACCTTATATGGAGGGTTATGTCCTACCAAATGCTCCTATACCTGATGGTCTGCCACTTCGATCGTTTCTCTGCGACATTCGGGAGATCGAGCACTATGCCGGTCTTAAGTTCTTCGATGGATTAAGGAGAAGTGCTCTATTCGGCAGTAATTATCCTAGTGAATCGCAGGTTTTTCGAGAGTTAGGCTAGAATTCGTAAATATAATTCCTAAAAATCGCAAGTAGGCCTTATAATAAAAAGTCACACATGTCTTTGAAATTATATTCATTAAATATTATCTTACAACAGTAAACCAAATTATTGTAAGCCCAAATTATGTCCATGAACGAATCGAGAGCTCATCAATGGGCTTTATATGCACTGGCGGGATTGACGGGCTTTGTATGCGGGGCCTTTGTTCAGCAAGAGGCGTCCATAAGGCAACTTTTCCAGCAGATCCGCAGGGATCCCTATATTTACCATCATCGTCATAAGTTGTATCCCATGGTGAGTGACAGTAATATATATATAATAATATATATCAATAGTTATTTTATTTTTCCAAAAGCTATCTACCTTTAGGACAGACCATGAAACCCGTTTGTGGAATAGTTCCACGTCTTTGGCTGACAAATTCAGAGAATTGGTAGTATCACCGATTTTCGACTTTGTTAGCGCTGCCTTAATGCTAAAAACTGATTCAGCAACTACAACAGATCTGCTAGATTTAATCAAATACGGACTGCCCAGCACGGAGAACTTGTATGTCCACAAGGACTATATTGTTTCGCAGGATATGTGCACGAATGCCCCAAGATGGATCTGTGAGCATTTCCGGGGGGATTATCAAAAAATGGCGTCCGATGAAGGCGGCTATAGTAACCTGAATCTGCGCTACAATGATGTCTATGTTTTGAGCTGCGGTTCGATGAAGATCTGTAAAGTATTTAAGCGGAAAATATGGAACGATCTGGAGAAATATGTTTCCACTAAGGCTAAGGAGTTCGGCTCAGTGTACACTTACACTGGACCGATTTACACACCATCCTGTCACGAGAATGGCAAATGGACAATGAAATACGAGGTGTTCGATTGGACTCCGATGCCGGTTCCATCGCATTACTTTAAGGTCCTGATCGTAGAGAGTCGAATTCCGGGACTATATCCTTTTATGGAAGGATATATCATCGAAAACAGCCGAATGGTGGGCGGAAAGTTAAGTGATCATCGGGCCAAGGTAGACGAAATAGAACGTTTTACGGGCCTGCAGTTCAACAAGGTCCTGCAACCCGTTGTGCAATTTGATAAGAACTCTTTCAAGGTGGACACCAGGGCCTGGGCGGGACGATTCGAGGAAATTTCTGAGCCACTTGTTACCCTTCCTGCGAATAAGGAAATAAAAGAGTTTTAAAGTATGTTTCTAAAGTTTTAAAGCGTAAATGTAAGCTTCAGTTTTGGAAAAGAAACGGGATGTTTTTAAATCAACTGTTCAAAAACGGTTTTACAAATAAAATATATAGTACATTTTTTAAAGAAATACAATTTTTAATGTTTTTTTATTTTTTACATTATTTGTATTTTTAATTTATTTTAATTTAAAGCTTTTTTACAAATTTTAGCATTTTAATAATTTTACCGGTAATGATTAACAACATATATTCAGCACCCCCACCTTTTGTGACGTCACATTATTATTTTGCTCCACCTTCTTAACGCCCAACATAAAACTGCGCTGTTAGCTAACAGCAGTGCTGTTAATAACAGTATTTAAATTATTTAGTATTTTAATACCATCAAAGTAGGTATTTTCCAACACTGCAATTTCGTGTTTACGCACACTACTATACGTGGCAGCAAGAAGAGCAAAAAAATCATTAGGGAACTGACGTGGAAGTTCGTTTAGCTCGAAATTTATTTTGTTTTTCAACCAGCGACCCGTGCGCCGCGGCCGTCAAGAGTTGAGGCCAACACCGAGTGGCCAAAATCGTGGAGTTAGTGGTCAGGAATCCGGCCGAGCAGCCCCCGAACTTGTCCAATCGCCGTGGCGAACTTTGAGCCATCCCGTGTGTTTTCTCCTCAATTCGCGTGAAAGTTGTTTGGTGGTTAAGCTTGCGACTCTCTTCACAATAAGGAAGGTGACCAGTCCGGCAAGGAAATGAATCCGAACATGTACGGGCCACCGCCCACGCAATTCCAGCAGCAACAGCCCCAGTTTGGCGCTCCTCCTCCGTCGATTCCCGGAGGCTGGCCACCGCAACAACAACCGCAGCAGCAGCAGCCGCCGCAGCAACAACAACAACTGCCTCCGCAGCAGCAGCAGCAACAACAACCACAGTATGGAGCACCACCACCAACGTCAGCGGCACCACAGTCTTACCTCAATGGCAACTACCAGCAGCAGGTGAATGGAAAAGCTTTTTGGTGTCCCCTGTCTTCCTGGTGACAAGCTAGGATTTGATAGTACTATATCTCTAAAACTGCCTGGGATTAGGTGATAAAATCACTATATTATGTTATACTAAAAAACCTTTGCAGGGTATTTATAGGGCCTAGATTCCAAATGGATAAAATAACAATGCATAGATTGACTTTATGATATAGTAATCCCATATCTGACCTTTGTTAGTTACTATTCCGATTCCTTTAGAAGGAATAGTTTATATTAGTTAGTTTCTAAACGAACAAATGATATCAAAGTTAAACTATCTTGAAGTAGTTATGAGGTACATAGTGACCTTAGATTGTAAACGTAGTTTGCATTTCGCCAAACTCTTACTGGATGACGTGACTCTTTTAATTCTAGACCACCTTGACCTCTTGAAACTAAGATTATTGGTATAAAACAAGAAATAACTATATTTTTTAAAACTAACTAATAGGTATCTTCCCAAAATGTAAATTTAGAAATCCCTCCTGATAAGCTGCGAGCACTTCACTAAAAGAGGTCATCCGTGATTTCATAATAGAAGAGTGAAGCTAAGCTTGCAGATAAGAAAAACAACAAAGTGAATTTACTAAAACTATTGTCTCTTTCAGCTGGCCACGTCGATGGGCGGTTTAAGTATGGGCGGCGGCGGTGGTGTTGGAGCCAATCCCCTGAAGCCACCACTCCCCCAAGGAGCTCCCGCTGCTGGAGCACCACCGCCAACCGGTTTCAATCAGTTCAACTCGAATGCGGCACCACCCCCGACCAACAACAACAACGCTGCGTACGGTGCTCCACCACCGACGCAAACTGGTGGCTATGTCAACGGAGCCCTTCCGCCCAGCAGCACTCCGCAGAGCGTGCCCAGTGGGATCAACCAGATGAGCTTGAACAGCGCCAGTTTGGCGGGGTTGCCGCACATGCCGCCTCCGAAAGCAGCAACGCCTGGAGCACCTTCTGGACAGCCTCCAGTACCTGGAGCTGGTTCCTCCCAGCAACCTCTTCCCGGACAACCACAACTGCCTGGTCAGCCCCCACATCCCGGTCAGATTCCCACCTCCCAGCCTGCTCCCGGTCCCTTTGGAGTGCCCAGTTCGCGACCTGGACAACCTCAGCTGCCTCCTGGAGCCGCTCCCCCGACCTACACGCAACCCGGACTGCCGGCACAGCAGCAGCAGGGAATTCCGCCATTGCAGCAACCAGGACTACCATTGCAGCAGCCGGGATTTCCCCCACAGCAGCCTGGTTTGCCACCCCCATCCCAACCGGGTTTGCCACCGCAGCCAGGAGCTCCTTATGGAGCACCCCAACCAGGCGGATATCCAGGTGGCTATCCAGGACAGGCTCCCGGAGGCTACCCTGGAGCACCACCACCACTTCCAGGGCAACAAGCAGCAGCTCCGCCGCAGTTCGGAGCACCGCAACCGGGCTATCCGGGTCAACAGCCGGGCTATCCACCGCAACCCGGTCAGCAGCCCATGCCAGGATATCCACCACAGCCGGGACAACAGGCAGGAGCTCCAGGATATCCACCGCAGCCAGGTGGCGGCTATCCAGGCCAGCCAGGACGTCCTGGATTTAATGTGAGTCAAAAACTTTATTATATTGCAATCAATATTCAACTAATTACTTTCTATCTTTTTTAGCAACCTCCCATGCCAGGAGCAGGGAACATGTACCAGCAGGCACCTCAGCCACGTCGCCTGGATCCCGACCAAATGCCGAATCCGATCCAGGTGATGATTGAAAATCAGCGTCAGTCTGGCGGACCCTTCGTGACCAATCAGCCGGGACTGCTGCCTCCATTGGTGACCACCAAATTCGTAGTTCACGACCAAGGCAACTCATCTCCGCGCTTCCTGCGCTCCTCGCTCTACTGCATCCCCAACACCGGTGATCTTCTCAAGACCACAGCTCTGCCCTTGACGATCAATATCTCGCCGTTGGCCAAGACTGCCGAGGGAGAAATGGAGCCACCGATTGTGAACTTCGGCGACATGGGACCAATTCGTTGCAACAGATGTAAGGCGTACATGTCGCCCAACATGCAGTTCGTGGATGCCGGCCGTAGATTCCAGTGTCTGATGTGCAAAGTTACTTCGGAAGGTGAGTGTTCCTGGAGGAAATATAGAAAGTTAATGTAGCTTAATGAAATTAATTTTACCTTCCAGTTCATCCGGACTACTACCAGCATCTGGACCACACTGGTCAGCGTGTGGACAAGCATGAAAGACCTGAGTTGCTGCTGGGCACCTACGAGTTCTTGGCCACCAAGGATTATTGCAGGGTAAAACATTATACACATTTAATTTAAAAAACCTACGCAATTCAAAATTTTTTTACAAAAAGTGCTGATTGAATGCTGTTAAAAATAGCTTTCTGTAAATTAGGACAAGATTTTTACACATGAACATGTTCAACATATGGCATACATTCTGTTTACATTTTATGTATTTCTCAAGACTAACAATTCCTTTCCTTTCTCCATAGAACAACACTCCCCCGGAGGTTCCCGCCTTTATCTTCATCATCGACGTCTCCTACAACACCGTAAAGTCGGGACTGGTTCACCTGCTGTGCTCTCAGATCAAGAACATACTCAAGCATTTGCCAGTGGACCAGGGTCAAGATAAATCCAAGGTGCGAGTGGGTTTCATCACGTACAACAGCACCGTGCATTTCTACAACATTAAGAGCAGTCTGGCCCAGCCCCAAATGATGGTTGTGGGCGATGTCCAGGAGATGTTCATGCCTTTACTTGATGGATTTTTGTGCCACCCAGAGGAGTCGGCAGCTGTAATCGATGCCCTGATGGAGGAGATTCCTCGCATGTTTGCGGATACCAAGGAAACGGAGACGATTCTGTACCCTGCCATTCAAGCGGGCTTGGAGGCACTCAAGGCTTCCAATGCTGCCGGAAAGCTGCTGGTGTTTAACTCCACGCTGCCCATTGCAGAGGCACCTGGCAAGCTGAAGAATCGCGATGACCGGAAACTCCTGGGCACGGATAAGGAGAAAACTGTGCTCACCCCGCAAACGACGGCTTACAACACATTGGGTCAGGAGTGCGTCCAGCAAGGCTGTTCCGTGGACTTGTTTGTGTTTAACAATGCCTACATCGACCTGGCCACTATTGGACAGGTTTCTCGGTTGACTGGAGGCGAGGTGTTCAAGTACACCTACTTCCAGGCGGACATAGATGGCAAGCGACTGATCCAGGATATCATTAAGAACGTATCGCGACCGATTGCCTTCGATGCGGTGATGAGGGTGCGCACATCGGCGGGCATCCGACCCACGGAGTTCTACGGCCACTTCTTTATGTCCAACACCACTGATGTGGAACTGGCCAGTATTGGTATGTAGCCATCATTCTGTTTTAATTCTGAGTGAAGGAAATAATTGCCTCTTGTTTTACAGACGCCACCAAGTCGGTGAGCATTGAGATCAAGCATGACGACAAGCTGCCGCCGGAGGAGAACGTATACCTTCAAGTGGCTCTGCTGTACACCTCCTGCAGCGGGCAGAGGCGTCTGCGTGTCCTGAATCTGGCACTCCGCGTAACCACGACGATTGCGGAAGTCTTCAAGAGCTGTGACCTGGACGCGATGATGCTGTTCTTCGCCAAGCAAGCCTGCTTCAAGCTGATGGAGCATTCACCCAAACAGGTGAAGGATAACCTGATCCATCGATCGGCGCAGATCTTGGCCTGCTACCGGAAGCACTGCACCTCGCCCACTTCCGCCGGCCAACTGATCCTTCCCGAGTGCCTCAAACTGCTGCCGCTGTATGCCTCGTGTTTGCTGAAAAACGATGCTATTTCCGGTGGATCGGATATGACGCTGGACGATCGATCCTATGTTATTCAGTTTATTTTGTCCATGGATCTGAATCAATCCGTTAGCTACCTGTATCCCCGTTTCATTCCCATCCACAACGTTGTGCCCGAGGAGACGGATTTGCCGACTCCCGTTCGCTGCACGCATGAAAAGACGCAAGAGGATGGCGCCTACATCCTGGAGAATGGAGTGCACCTGTTCGTCTGGCTGGGCCAGTCCCTGT